TCTGTCTATGAGAACACATAATCTAGCTATAAATACATTACACAGTATGAGTAGATATGGTTGGCTCTTGCTATGGCGAGGAAGGGGATAACGCGATGTGAGGAGGGGGTGACATGGCAAGCGATATGGAGCGTTCAGTATCAGATGTCGAGCGCTTCGTGGGTAGGTCTTTCCATTACCGGCAATCCATCACGAAATGGGGTCATCACGACCAGCCAGCTGGACTCTCTCCGACCATTCCCCTGGGCTGCAGCTGATTGCGAGCTGGACCTATCGCCACGTCAGCTCGATCCACCCAGCCGGGCCAAGCTGCGTGATTTTCCAGCCAAGCCCAGCCAGCTCTCAAGCCCAACTCGAATTGGCGGCAACACTATCTCTCACTTCCCATCATGTCCTCGCCCCCCATCGCCACGGCAATGCCTTCAACACGGAGCACGCCACCTACAGAGAACGTGGAGCGACTCCAAGCACTGCTGCGCAAGACGCTACGTGTCTCTGTGACCGACGGACGCGTCTTTCTGGGCACGTTTGCAGGCACGGACAAGCAACTCAACATACTGCTCATCAACACGGACGAGTACCGTCTCGGGCCGGATGCTGGCTCAGATGGACTAGATGGACGCTATGTCGGGCAGGTCATGATTCCGTGGCGGCTCGTCGTGCGCGTCGAGACCAACGCAGAGGGCGAGCATACAAGGAGCAGTAGCTATCGTGATAGCGACGAGGACAGCATGTATGCTTGAAAAACCTGAGCGACGTCAGTGTTTTGTGAGGATACATGAATAGTTTGTTGACTTGTTGCACAGACAAATCGGGTTTCCTACAGAGCAACACGCTTGCTGGGGTTCTGGCCGGGTACGTGAATGTTTGATCCCACTCGTCCGTTTGGCTGGAACAGCATCCGCAGATCATTCATCTGCACCCCGAGGACTTGCCGTGACCGGTTTGCGACGTCGAGACGAACCCTCCTGACTCGCCGCCGCGTCCGCCAGAGTGGTTCAATGGGGTTCACCCCCCTTAAATCGCTATGTTGGGCTTTACAGATCGCATGGGGCACAATGATCCCTGTTCTGCGGCTACCCTTCCAAACGAGGCAGGGCTTGTTCCCAGGATGACTGCGAGCGGTGAGAGGGATTGTGACCGCATAGCAATATTCGGCGTCGACCCAATGTTCGTAGATTCATGTTTGCTTGCATCTCTGGCTATATTGACGAAACAATCACGCCAGCAAACCTCACTGCAGCTTACTTGTCATTCGGGGCATGATCGTATCGAGTTTCTCCCTGATGTTCCAATACGTCGCCATCGACAACTATACGAGTGCGTTCGAGTACGTCCTATGAACTGGGTGTTTTGATTGAAGAACACATTCGCCATGTCATCGCCTCCGCGGTTCATGCCTCAACGTATCAGACCGAGAATTTACTGCTCGGGCACCGCACAGCAAATAATCCGGTGAAGTCCGTAGCCACTGGCATTGCAGGAAGACGGCTTATCGTGGCAGCTGGTTAGGTTGTTTCCGCCGCTGAGCAACTAGGGTGACTGAACAGCCGTATCCGTATATTGGCCTAGTCACTATTTGGGCACTGGTAACATGTCCGCTGGTAGCGCTTTACAGTCGGCGCTGTATTCGCCAACCTGATTTGGCACGGGTGACTAACAGCGTTCCGCCGCGCTAGTCTCCAGGCAAACACAAAACCAAATGTCTGGTGATCCGGTCGTAGAGCTCTGGGCCTCTTCAGCGTATACAAACGGGTAGCAAATCATGACCGCTCGGCGCTCTCCCACAATTATCATTCGCTTAACTTCCCAGTCATCGTCCCGCCTTCACGAAGGCCACGCGACCTCATCGTGCCTGTTCCATCAATCAATGGTCACAATGAAATTCAACGACAATGGGTATGTTCCTCTCATTCCTAAAGCCCCTCGCTGAGGCTCAGGCGTGCATGAAGACCTCATCAGCCGGCGCGAGCTGTACGGTGTCAAGCTCTTGGCAATGGATCTTGAATGGCAGCCTAACTCATTCGAGGATGTCAGGATGGGCTGCAAGCACAACAGGGTTTATGGGCCCCTCGATGCCCTTCATCAAGAGCATGTCTAAGACTTCCGCCACTCGCACCACCTTTCGCTTCAATTCCCTCTTTACATCTATACTCGATGGCGGCACGGTGTTCGCCCGAACCCTGATGGCATTACAGCGCTCTAGACTAAAACAAAGGTAAGCGAAGCTTTTGAAGTGGCTCCGAGTCGCACGCCACTGGGCGGGCCTCAAAGCGCACAGCACCCTCAAGCGCACTGTCAAAGCACTCTCTGTCTCGACGCTTTGGTCCACGGAGAGGTCGTTTATAATCCCTCAGATGCTACAGCACCCGTCCCTGCACCAGCGTAATTGACGTCTCTTACAGTTCGGTATGTCCATTCTCCCGTCTTCGTCAACCGCATTTCCTTTGCTAACTGCGCATAGAAGTGACAGCCTACTGCTATTATCAACAGTATGCCTCAGTACATGTGCATGTCAAGTAGTGAGTGGGTTCAGAGGCTCCGGGGAGAATGGATCCCTGAACCGCTCTTCAAAGTGAGTCTCCCCATATTTTTCCAACACGACATTCATGTATAATGCGATTGTTATCATAGCCTGGAGACAAAGTGAAGACATACGACGAGGATAAGGGGAAGTGGGTATCCGGTGTCATCGCTGTCGATCATGATCCTCCGCACTTCTGTAAGGTACGACCAGCAAACGTCACCAAATATACGTGAATCCCTGTTAACCCCATACTATGACGATTTCAGGAAGAGTATTATTGGGAATATCCGGTGATTATGGATCGGACCACTGGGTGTCGCCACCTGATATGGTTCGAAGAGAAGGACCTCCAAGGATATAACTAATATCTCTAACACCGATGTTTCCGGTATACAACTTCTCTTAGTATCAAATCTTACGTCTTGAATGCATTCAAGAACATTGTGATTTACGCTACTCATACGTTTCTCCTTCAACCTCTACATATGCCTTCCCTGTCGTCTCCCGCATGCCTTGCTACTCGGAATACCTGATTTGGCAGGTGTTTTCATGTGAGCACTGCTTCTCCTTAGCGCCCAAAGACAACGCTTGCCTTCTTGCTGTTGCAGCCTGGCGGTGACTCCCATGATCTCTAGCTGCGGTGTTGACCGAATAAAAAATAAGACCCTCTCGTAAACAGATTCCTGTAACTTGAGAGCAGTAGTCCTTGCAGCTCAAGGTTGTCAAAGCCTTCCGATCCGCGCGACCCCGGTGTTGTATCATCCTGGCTCATACCAACAGGCAGTAAGGGAGATTCGTTCGACGTTACACATAGGTACGCATTTTTCCCAGCTAATAGGGGAGACACACGCTCATTAATGCTGTCTTTGCAGGCGCGTGCCCCCCTAACATAGGGCCATGCTAAACGGTGAACGCAGTCTAGCAAGGAGCGTGCTGCCCGAGGTTCATCATATCGATGAGATCACCGCGCAAACTATCTAGTTTCAGCCACCAGTTTTCCTCCTGAGATGTAAGTGAAGTGAAATCAATCGGTGACTCATCGTAGACGATGAGAGCAAGGTTACTGTTGAACGTATTCTGTGATACTGACGAACTGGGGCTAGTTCTGTACAGATGGCGATGAGAACGGATGAACTGACGATCGATTCGCTACCCAGGAATCTTTGAATGAGGCGGACAGGCGTGGGATGAGGTCCCCTACATCGACCAATACCAAAAATCGCTTAAGGGCTTAAAGGGGGCACCCGGTGAGCCCCAGTTCACCGATCAAATTTGCTGACCCGTCCGTCAGCTCGAACGAGGCTGACATGAATAAGTAAGGTGAGTTCAGCTTAGAATCACGCACTCTGCTGTGTTTCACCCTCCTTATGGAAGACTCAGTCTGGGCACCGTCCGCTGAATAGGCACGCTCAACATCAGTGACTCAACTAATGATGACCGCAGGGCGACGTTCTGTTTCTTTGACGATTACTCAGCTCGGCGTCATCTTCTGAAGCGAAAAGAACGATGAGGGATCGAATTACTGATTATTCGGGCGGGGAACGTACGATCGATCAGCTGGAGTCAGTGTCAGCCTCTATGGTTCGGACTTTCGGGAGAATGCTGTATTTTCGGATGCGAACAGTAGCGGCTGACCGTGCTAACCTCGAGGTTGGCACAAATCAAACCATCCAGCCGAGTCCGCCACAGAGCGCCCGTCGTGGTATAAACAGCCGCCATTCCGTCCACTCCTTCTTTCCTCACCACCACCACCGTCTTCGAAGATGTTCTCTAACCACTTACATCTCCGGCCGTGACCACGGTTCATTTACACGCCGGATGCCTTCTTCTCTCAGGCCTTGCTGCCTGACGACGGTGGTCAGCATGGGACCCGACGTCCATGGGTATTCTTCTCGCTCACCTTGCCGTCCCATCCTTGCTCATTACGATCTACCTCTCCCAGCGTCGGAGACCCAGGTACGCTCGAGGTCAATCGTGAGTTGCTCATGTCGCTCCTTGCTCTACGCCACATGTTGACTGTGGCGGTGGTTAGATTCGACGCGTACCATCCCGG